GGCAAACAATAGCAAGCCTCAGAGTGGCGGGAGGAATGCAAAGAATAAATATTCAGAGTTGATACAATGCATTATCTAAAATGTTCAGTTTTCACTAATAATGAGAGACATGCAAAGGAAAATATCCATATACAGAGAGGGAAAGCAGGAAATAGAAACTAACTGAGAGGTCTCGGATATCAGATTTAACAGACAAAGACTTCCAATCAACATCATTAATATGTTCAAAGAACTAAAAGAAACCATGTTTAAATAAGTAGAGTATGATATAAATGTGACACCAAATGAAGAATATCGGTAAAGAGGTAAGAAATTATATTAAAAAAAAAAAGCACCAAATAGAAATTCTGTAGTTGAAACGTACCATAACTGAAAGAAAAAAATTCACTACAGGGGCTCAACAGTAGACTTTAACTAGCAGAAGAATCAATGAACTTGAAGATAGATAGACAGATATTATACAATCTGAAGAACACAGAGAAAAATTAAGAAAAATGAATAAAGCCTTAGAGAAGTGTGGGAGACCATGAAGCACACCAACATATGCATAATGGGAGTACCAGAAGGCAAGGAGAGAGAGAAAAGAGAAGAAAAAATACACAAAGAAATAATGGCTGAAAACTTTTCAAATCTGAGGAAATACATCAATCTATATGTCCAAGAGGCTCAACTGACTCAAAGTAGGATAAATGCAAATCCACACCCATATACACTGCACCCTAAAAATGCCTAAATACAAAAACAAAGATAAAATCTTCAAAGAAAACATTAAATAATGCTTAATAAACATTACTGGTTGAAAAAAATGATTGTATCCAAGTATAGAATACTATGCAAACATTTAAATGATATGTAGATACATTTGTTAATGCAGAGCAATATTTCCTTTTGCTAAGTGAAAAAAAGCAGGTTGTAAAATTATAAACTGTATGATTTTTTTTTTGTAGTGACAAATACACTTATTTGGATAAAGTGCTTAGCACATTAACTGTCAATCACAGAGTATGCACTCGATAGACAATTCTGGTTCTGTTGCTACGGTTGTATTATGAACTTTAGTAAAACTGACCAGGCTGGATATTATCTCCAGATTTTAAATCAGTCATTTCATGCTACTCATTGAAAGCAGGTATTAATATCCAAATCTACTGCACTTGACTGAAATGTTTTCCTACTTCGCTTCTGTTGGGTGAAAATAATGACACCAGTTGTCACTCCCTAGGAAGGCATTCCTTGCCTAACAGCTTAGTTCTAAATCCACACAAGAATTTCTCAGACCATGGGAAGGTGAGAGAAATGGGCTCTCTTGCTCCAGAGCTTCCTTCACCAAGATGGAGCTGTTGGCTGCCAGCTACTTGCAGGCCCCACATTAGCTACACGCACTGCTGCCAAGTTGGCCTTGGTTTCCTCAATCCTTCACCAGAAAACAGACTCGTTCTCCACTCTGGCCCCTTTCCCTGTCCAGTTTGGGAACGCTCTCCTATGAGGATACTTTCTTAGTTCTGGTAGATCAGGCAGGTGCCAGTTCTTTGTTTTCTTCTACCTGTAGCTAAGCCTTGTCTGACATTTCTGCCCAACATCACTAAAGTCTGACTTAGAGTGTGAACTAGACTCCTACCATGTCTCTTAAGCAGCCAACCCTTGGAGCAGATCTCTGAGCAAAATCCTGAGAGCTTCGCATTACACTCTGATACCCCTACTATGCCCACCATCATTCCCTCCACTAAAATGGTCCAAAGAACATAGGGGCACAAGATTAAAGAGCCATCTGGTTGCCTTTCACAAGAGAGATAAGTCCAACAATGAAATATTCTGTTTCTTTTCTGTTTAATTATAGAACCATTATTCGAATAGTATTGTCCTTTATTTGTTTCTCCTACCAAAACAATAAATTCTAACTATTCAAAGTTTAAATCAGTTTCAAGAGCTGGCCTAGGAACCCAACTCCTATATTATATTTTTTCTGTGGGGGAGAAGTGTTCAGCAACTGCTTATACAAATCAGCAGTGTTCAAAGTACTGCTCTCAATGAACCTAATTATCTTAACCTTCTAGTGTTTATAAACTTTTGGAACCTCACCCACTTTTAAGAGAGAGACTTCTCTTTACTTGATTGCTATAAATAAATGAATCCCAAAAGGTTTAACAGATTGCAGAAAGAGGATAAGGTTACAATGGGCAAACATTAGCAGATGAAATATAATTAGTAGTATACCAATTCTTCATTAAGTATTATAGATATCATAAGTACAGCTATTAGTGTTTAAACAAAACACCTGTCAATTATTCACAAGTATTTCCAATTATAAGAAAATATTCCACAGTAAACATATGCTACACACTGAGATTCGGAAAACAAATTCTCAACCCCATTCAATCTATTTTTTCTGAGTGCCTCCCAAAGATTACTCATCACACTTATGTATATGCCACTATAATTAATAGTTCTCTGTTATTCTTTCCACTTTAGGTTTGGCAATAGAAATTTCATTACCAGATAAGCCTGTTTTGATTCAGATACAACTAAGGTAATTACCAAATTCATAATAAGGTGGTTATTTGGGGTCAGGGTGATGATAAGTCCTTAGCTTGTACTTGCTGAATAGTTAATAATATCTGCAAGGAGAGCTGACCTAATGCTCACAAAAAATACATTAAAATTCTCCTGCATTTTTATATTTGTGAGGTTTTAGGTTTTTTTAAGTTTTGTCTGAGACAAATACCATTTTTATAAGCTTAAAACATTATAGCAATACTATTCTTATTCTATAGCCCTGTAATTCTGATATTCTTGATAATTCCTATATTCTTTATGATATTCCTATAATTCCCATATTAGGAATATTCCTATAATTCTTTATGCAATACTGATATTCCTATAATTCTTTTGCAATATTAGGAGCAGGGTTTTTTTTTTTAATGTTTATTTATTTACTTTGAGAAACACAGTGTGAGTGGGGGAAAGGCAGAGAGAGAGAGAGAGAGAATCCCAAGCAGGGTCTCTGCTGTCAGCACAGAGCCGGATGTGGGGCTCAAACTCATGAACCATGAGATCATGACCTTAGCTGAAATCAAGAGTCAGATGCTTAACTGACTGAGCCACCCAGGTGCCCCTAAGAGCAGATTGTAAAAAAAGAACTACAATAGACCCAATGAAGACCAAAAGAACTGTGTGCTTTTTACTCTTCCGTCTGTGGGTCCTGTTGCCCAAGTTTCTGAGGAGACATACATCTGATTCGGCAAGCAGATGTAGATACCCGACCAAAAGAGCCAGCCTTCTTGCTAAATGTAATTCCAAAGGCTTAGCAATGGGCTTCATAAATTAATTTATTCTTAATTCAAATGAAAGGATGTAACATCTTCCTGACGTACCATGTAATTTTAATTATGAAGAAATTATAGATTTGAACCTATTTTTAAATGTCCAAATAATAAACAAAATTAAGTGCAAAGAGAGTTGTAAATATGCAACCCAAATCCAATCCAAAGCCCAAGATTGATCTTCTCGAACTGAAGAAAGCTACTCAAAAAAGAGCAAGAAGACTTCCTAAGGGGCATCTAGTAGTAGATGCTCGATAAAGCAAAATCTAAAGAAACTCATTTCCTGGAACATACCTTTGTGGTTTTTGTTCATTTTGTGTTTGTTTTGGGAGGAGGGTATTAGGGGAAGGTTATGACAGAGGAAAGATGGTAGGTAAATTGGAAAAGACCATCAGGGTAGAAACGGGCTAACAATGAAAAAATAAAAACCACTGAAGAATGTAGAAATGAATAATCACAAGAATGAACTGAAGGGACAGGATGGATGGCTATCTGCCATAGCCAGACCTAATGTTGACAGTGTTCTCTCCCACTTGGGAGGCACCAGAACAAGAACACGAGTAATGACCCTTGTGAAAATCCAAAGTCATATCCACTGTTGTGCTTACTTTTCCCTAGCTGCAGGAAAGGTAAGTTTCTACTTTATCTTCTTTAGAAGAATGAAGTAGACATAATCTTTCACACTGCTCATCTTTGAAAGCTCAGAAGTACTTAAGTTGATTTGCATACAATAATTATTTACTTAATTAACAGGCTCTCAACTAGATTGTCCTTTCAACCCTTAACAAGCTGAAAATTATATGATTCCTCTTCAAAGAGAAGAGATTTTCCCTAAATAGGATCTATTGCTAACAATAGAATACAATTTTCCACGAGGCTTCTGTACTGAGATTTGACTGGTTCCATGACAAAGAATGAGAGATTCCTTTGGTACAAGAGCACATATAAATGGAGAAATCTCAGATGCATCTATCATTGAAAACCCAGACATTTTTTAATTTACATTTATTCTTAAAAGCTAGTATCTTCAGTAAAAATTCTTATATGCAACAAGAAGAAAAAAAATAAAGCTGGGGGCGCCTGGGTGGCGCAGTCGGTTAGGCGTCCGACTTCAGCCAGGTCACGATCTCGCAGTCCGGGAGTTCGAGCCCCGCGTCGGGCTCTGGGCTGATGGCTCAGAGCCTGGAGCCTGTTTCCGATTCTGTGTCTCTCTCTCTCTCTGCCCCTCCCCCATTCATGCTCTGTCTCTCTCTGTCCCAAAAATAAATAAACGTTGAAAAAAAAAAATAAAGCTGTACATTCTCCACAGAAGTGGAAGCTAATCTTAAATAAAATAAAGCACAGTGTTTAAGATTATAACTACTTTATATAATAGGCTAGCAGAAATCTATCAACATTTAATGTTTATGATACATTAATAACTTTCCCTTGTGGTTCAAGAAGAAAAAAATCCAAACTAACCAATTAACCTGTAAATAAAGAGAATTTTTGAAATTAATATAATGAAAATAGCAAGTTCGAAATCCAAAAAAACTCTCCTTTACTCTGGTCAAAGAATGACTCATACTTCAAAAATAAAGTGAGTGGATGTAGCAAGTAAATGAGCCTAAAACCAAAATGCATCGTTCTCTCAGTGCAGCAGATGTATACGTCATCAGGACTAGCCCACTGCCCACTCACCAGATGTCCGACTTTGTGTTGTAACCTTGGTGTTTCAGAGCCTCTGGACTCATGTAATGAGGAGTTCCAGTTAAAGTGGTGGCTAGATCACAGGATCCCATTAGGAGTCGAGAAACTCCAAAATCCCCTTGAAATAAAAATTAATTTTTACAAATACTTTAAAACAATGAAAACCAGCGTGGAAATTAACAACTGTCTAATTTGACAATTTTAAATATGCAATGACTCATACCGTTTTAAAGGAAAAGAGAAGAAAAATAATATCTTTTAAATCACACAATGCTGGTGAATAGTTTTAAAAAACATAGCCTTAGGGGTGCCTGGGTTGCTCAGTCAGTTAAGTGTCTGACTTTGGCTCAGATCATGATCTCACGGTTTGTGAGTTCCAGCCCCGTGTCGGACTCTGTGCTGACAGCTGGGAGCCTGGAGCCTGCTTCGGATTCTGTGTCTCCCTCTCTCTGCCCCTCCTCTGCTCACGTTCTGTCCCTCTCTGTCTCTCAAAAAGAAATAAACATTAAAAAAAAAACACATAAACACAAAACATAGGCCTTATAGGAGAAATAAGACTTTGAGCCAGAAAAGCTAAAACTTTTTATTTCTGGAATTATGGAGAACCAGCAACTTGAAACAAAAAGCTATTTCAGGTCTGAAATAACAAACAAACAAAATTATTCTGGAAGGGCTGAATATAATGCTCTGCAATTGCACCTGAGGGGGGAGTGTTTGTTCTTCATTTACAATAAAGAAAAAATTTCATATAAAAGACCTGAGACTTTTGAAGAACACGACTATAAAAGTTTGAATCTATTAGCTTCTCTTTACTCACCTAACTAGTTACATGCTTTTATGCTTTCCCTTTCTAAGAACATCTGACAGGAATATTAAACAATCCAGTAACCATTATGAATGGAAGCATGGTTCTGAAGAACTAAAAATTAACAAATCTATTATATCAACATTTTAATTATCTGTGATAACTGCCAGTTGCTTGTGATAAAATAAGTGGAAAACCTGTACTAATTAATCAAACTAGTAAAACAAGTCTAACTACTTGCAAAGTGCCTGGCATGGAGTAAGAAACTCAAAAATTATTAGTTCAATTATCAAGTACATAGCAAATGTCTTACACTTCAATTTACATCAGATACTTGGAAACAAAATAATTGGGACTTTTGGCCTCAACCAAGAAAAAAACAAAAGTTTGAGAAGTTAAAAATAATCCAGAAATTACTCTAACACTTCTAGATACGATATACTTCAATGTGATATATTTATTGATAACATCTAGAATATACTCTCCCATGTTTCTGGAATACATATTTTAAAGTATCTTACCAATTTTAAGCAGATTATTTTTCAGAAATATATTCTTTGATTTCAAGTCTCGATGAAGTATCTTCCTACAAAAAGGCAAAAAAAACAAGATATAGAATTTCATGCAAAATATAAAATTTTTTATTCCTAACATAAATAATATATATAGGTATATGTGAAGTGATTCACACATAAATACATATTCCCATAGATAAGTCTTTCAATGCTTAAAAGCTACAAATCCACAGCATTTTCTAGTTCCCCTAAGGAAATAAGAGTTTAAAAAACATTTTTTAAGTGAGCAGAACTTGTAGTTGGGAGAAGAGTGATGTGGTTTAAACTCTTTCAATAGTTCACTGTATTTCAAATTTTATTGTGTTTCTGTAGCTGATATACATAGTACTGTATGTACTAGCCATACACTTAGTGGACAGACCAGTTATCATAAAGTTTTACAATCTACTATAGATAATCTATTACATATTATATGTTATACTTACATATAACATATTTTTGTAGAACATATAATAGTTTCATATTCTAGAAATATTATATATATATAAACTATTATATGTATTAAATCAAAATGTTCAGGTTTTATGTGTTTGTGGAAATAATAATGCTGATGGTGATATTTAATAATAGATAACATTTATTAAGTCTGACTGTATAAGCCAGCAATATAAATTATGTCAGTTAAGACTTTTGTTTCCGGAATTATGAAGAACTAGACAACTTGAAAACATTTACCTAAGAAACACCTAAAAACGAGTCATAAAGTGTACAAATATCTTCACATATGCACAGCCGAGCCTACAAGAAAATGAAACAAATTCCTGAGGCTTTATATAAAAAGAATACTGAAAATCCGAGTGGGCAGTAGGTACCGATTTCTCAGCTGCCCCAGGGGTGTGCTAAGGTCAGCAACCAATGGGCCAGTTTTAATGGCCTCATAGAAATAAGAGCCAAGACCTTGAGTCCATGTAATGTGGAGACCCATTAGTGGTTTGTACCTTAACTGAAAGGATGACCCAAGAAACACTGACTCACAAGTAAACAAAATGACAAAAAAGTTTATCTGTACAGGTCTGAACTCTGAGTGGTAAAAAAAAAAAGAAAAAAGAAAAAAATCTCTTTTTTTTCTGTAACCATACCTCTCTGCTCACTCACATTTGGGATTCAAATATGCAATAGCTGTATGGCTTCAGAAATCCCAAGCCAAGAAATTAACATAAAAATTGGTTCTCAGCTGCTTATACCCTCTTGGGGCATCTACCAGAAGCAAATGCAAACTAAGAGTCAGCAGATAACACACACTAAAATTATACCCCTGAGATTTTCAGATAAGCCAGAAGGATTCAAACTCTGAAATAAGTTTATTTTAAGAGATTAAAATAATAAAGAAAGGAATAGAAAACAAAATAGAAACAGGATACTATCCAGAAAAAGATGATGCTGATTTGAAAAACAACCAGATAGAGGGGTGCCTGGGTGGCTAAGTCAGTTAAGAGTCCAACTCTTGGTTTTGGTTCGGGACATGTTCTCACGGTTTCTGAGTTTGAACTCCATGTTTGGCTCTGGGTGCAGATCCTGCTTGGGATTCTCTCTCTCTGTATCCCTCTGCCCCTCCCCACTCATGCTGTCTCTCTCTCTCTCTCTCTCTCTCTCTCTCTCCCTCAAAATAAATAAACACACATTTTAAAAAAGAAAAAGAAAAAAAGAAAAACAACCAGATACAATTTCTAGGGGAAAAAATGTGATTGAAATTAAAAACTCAAAAATAAAACCTCAGCTTCAGCTATGATGGAGTAACTTTAACACTAAGTCTACCACTTTCCATAGCTGTACAGAGAACACTGAAAAATTTACACAATGTAAAAGCTGAGTAAAATTTAAAAACAACAACAGGTCTTTGAAGACATCAGAGATCAGCTAAGGCAAACTTAGGCAGTCAGCACCTGAGGAGCCAGACCCTGGAGAAAACGCAAATGCTGTGAGGTGAGCCCAACACTTGAGATTGTGTGTTCCTCTCAGGGCAGTTGACACAAGCAGAATGCTCTAGGCTAGAGCTTGCAGCACCTTCCCTTGGCTTAGAAGACAAAAATTACAGTTCAAATCTACCAAGGCAGCTAGGACTTGAGGGGGAAATTTTCCAGTAAAAAAGGGAACAAAAGAGAAGTGAGTGACATTCTGCAAGGCTTTTACCCTTGAGGCACTTACTGAATCCTAAATTGTTAGGGGAAGACAGTAAGGAGAAGGTGGCTGCTAAGAGGTTAAAAACTAGGTAGAGCTTTAAGTAGATTCACAAAGATGAGGCTGGGTCTTGGAAACCTTGAAGGACTACTTCTTAGATACTGGAACAAGACCGGCCTTCACAAAGTCTCAAACCAGCCTCAAACCAACTCAATACCCAATTAGTTCAAGGTGATCTGCCCCTACTATAACTACCACCCAGAAAAACATTAGATCCTCTCCAGAAGAAAATACCACCCAACATATCTACACTATTTCATATATATTGTCCACCATTCACTCAAAAACCAGCAAAAGAAAGTAGGGAGAGGAGAAAAAGGTATGTAACAAAATACAACGGTAGAAATACATTCCCTATATTGTTAATCACAAAGGATTCAAATCATGAATTAAAACACAGAGAAACAGGACTAAACTAGTTTTTAAAAACTGATATGAAGAACTTAACAGAAGACCATGGGGGAGAGGTAGGGGGGAAAAGTTACAGAGAGGGAGGGAGGCAAACCATAAGACTTAAATACTGAGAACAAACTGAGGGTTGATGGGGGGTGGGGAGGAGGGGAAAGTTGGTGATGGGCACTGAGGAGGGCACCTGTCGGGATGAGCACTGGGTGTTGTAAGGAAACCAATCTGACAATAAATTATATTTAATAAATAATAATAATAATAAAAATTAAAAAATAAAAACTGATATGAAGAACACACTTTTTAAAAAACATTTTTTAAGTTTACTTATTTTATTTTGAGAGAGAGCACAAGCAGAGAGAGAGGGAGAGAGAATCCCAAGCAGTTCTGCACTATCAGAGCACAGCCTGATGTGGGACTCGAACCCATCAACTGCAAGATCATGACCTAAGCTGAAATCAATAGACACTTAACCAACTGAGCCACCAGGTACCCCGAAGAACATCCTTTTTTAAAAAAACATAAGGACAGGGGCGCCTGGGTGGCACAGTCGGTTAAGCGTCCGACTTCAGCCAGGTCACGATCTCGCGGTCCGTGAGTTCGAGCCCCGCGTCAGGCTCTGGGCTGATGGCTCAGAGCCTGTAGTAGCCTGTTTCCGATTCTGTGTCTCCCTCTCTCTCTGCCCCTCCCCCGTTCATGCTCTGTCTCTCTCTGTCCCAAAAATAAATAAAACGTTGAAAAAAAATTTTTTTAAAACATAAGGACAGAGGTTGAAAGCAAGAGGACAGAAAAGATATTCCAGGCAAAAGAAAGCTGGTAAAAAGAAGTATTAGGTAAATTAAGTATAAAGAGTATCAGTACATAATGAATAAACCAATAATTTATTGGGAAAATTTTTAAATTCTGTACTTGTGTGCAACTTATGACACAAGCTTAAATACACTATGAAAAGTAAATATTAATAGAACTTTAAGGAGAAATTGACAAATCCACAATCACAAGGGGAAATTTAACATATTTCCCTCAGTAATTAATAGATTCAGTAGAAAAAAAATTAATAAGGATATAGACTTTAACAAAACAATCGGATTTGAAAAACAATTAGCTTGAGCTAATATACATAAACTGGATATTTTATCAAAAAACTTAAAAATGCATGTTCTTTCAGGAATACATGGAATATTTTCAAAAACTGACAATGAACTAATCCATAAAGCAAGCCTCAACAGATTACAAGAATCAGCACCACATAGTCCACACATTCTCTGGTCTCAGTGAAGTTACGTTAGAACCCCATCAGATGCTTAGAACAGTGCCAGGCACTGGCAATGACTGATCAAGACAGACAAATTCTCTGTGTTTATGAAGTTTTCTGGTCAGGTAAATAGAAAACAACTAAATGAGTGTGTGTGTGTGTGTGTGTGTGTGTGTGTAGTGTCAGCTAGCTTAATGCTATTAAAACAATAAAGCACAGCAAGGAGCTAGAGATTAACCAGGGTAAAGAGGTGCTAGTTTAGATCAGGTGGTCAGGGAAGGCCTTAGAGAAAGTGACATGGGACAGAGATGTGAATGAAGCAATGGAATGAACCATGGTTGTGGCGGTTGTTACCATTACTGCTCATATTTCTACTGTTATTGTTACCACCAATATATCAAAAAGGAAAGTCTGTGCGAGGCTATCAAGCAGAAATGAATGATGAACTACAGGGAACAGTTGAAGCCACATCGTCCTTCCCCCTCACTCTTTATACCCCATTCCCTGCTCAAGACCCTCTGTGACCCCTACTGTTGGCCAAATCAAAGACAGCTTCACATTTGGAGTCTTCCTTTTCCAGCCTCCTCTTTCACCTATTTCTACATCTGTAAGAAAAGGCCTGATAAAGGATTTTTTCCAATTGGTAATTTATTCATACAGAAAAATTTAATGAAGAAATAAACATTTAGTTACATATTTGAAGTACCTTTTAAAAGGGGGAAAAAAACCCTCAAGAATAAGTACAAGCCAAGAAAATCCAGGCTAAGAAATTGTCACATCTCTGTTGAAGCCAATAAGGCACTTACTTTATCTTTTTTTTTTTATTTATATATGAAATTTATTGTCAAATTGGTTTCCATACAACACCCAGTGCTCATCCCAAAAGATGCCCTCAATACCCATCACCCACCCTCTCCTCCCTCCCACCCCCCATCAACCCTCAGTTTGCTCTCAGTTCTCAACAGTCTCTTATGCTTTGGCTCTCTCCCACTCTAACCTCTTTTTTTTTTTTTT